AAACTCTTCAGATACGAGTTGAACCACACCTCGCGGCCCCGGAGTGTCTCCACGGCCTGGTCCTTCTTCACTTCCAGCATAGTCCTCTCGAGTTCCGCGACCTCAAACTTCGTCCTCCAATACTGGATGCGACGATCCTGGTCAGCAAGCGCACTCTCGAGGTCTGCTCAGCATGGAAACGACTAAGTCAAACTGCTCTTCTCTCACGAGAATACAACAAATCAAGTCGATCCAGACGGAAGAGTAAAGGAGATGAAAACAAAGATAACCAACCTAAGGGAGTCGTCGCCATGCTCGTTTCCACAGGCGAATTTTGAGCTACATCGCCCTCCGGCACATGTGGCTCGAACGCAAGTGCCGGAACGATCACTGGCAACTCAGGCTGCCCGCGCTGCTGGACATCCTCGACATCAACATCTCTACAGACGACAACAAAGTACTCAAGATCAAAATGCTAAAGAAAGCTAAGGCGATGACTGCATACACAAAGGCGGTTGGAACCAATGAAAGTTTTACAAAGCATGACTAAGGAGTACAAGAGAGTCAAAATCCTACTCTTCAAAAAGTGGGAGAACAGACTCCCCCAGATCGCCGACTTCTTCCATCACATCCTTGCGCGCGTCGCTAGCCGCCCCCTGATCCAAGATTTTCCGCAGATCGAGTTTAGGGTGCGCCAGTCTCACACACGCAAGGACATGGCACGCCCCGGTATAGATCCCGTTGGACGTCTCCTCTCCAATCCTAGCCGCGTGCTTGGAGGGGATCTCCTCCATCGCCGTCGCCAGCTCCGCAAGAGAAGTCGTCGGCGAGAACTCATCGGGATTCGCCGGGATGGTAGACTTGATACCGCACTCCCCGGCGAGCTGGTGCAGACCAGTATAGGTGACTCGCAACGAGCCACGGATTTCCGACAAGTTGTTCTCGCGCTCCGACATGCGGTGCTCGAGTCCCTGCCGTTGTCGCTTATTGCCGGCCACCAGCTCCCGCATCTTCTGGAGGTCCTCGCGAACCTCCGCCAAATCATGCGCCAGCCGGTCGGCGCGCTCATTCGCCGACGCCGCCGCCGCCGCCCTCGCCTCCGCGATCTCGCGGCTAATGCCGCGAGCACCAGCCTCAAGGAGGCACCCCATCTCAACCTGGAGCTCCTCCCAGGTGAGGATGGCAGCCGGCAGACCTCGACCAGTGGCGAGATTGCTAGCTGGGCCGCTAGGTGTTGCCTCGCGGCTCCTGGGCACGACCACGACATCCGTCGAGGCCACGATAGGAGACGCGCTGGAGGTCCCTCCAGACCCGTCTTGCGCCGCCTTCGCCCACGCCGCCCTGCGAAAAGCTGCAACTGAGACAGGCTGCAACAGTTTGACGAAGTGACAAAACCTCAAAGTCATCCACTTGCTTCTCGCCAAGCGTCACTAGCCGTTGCCGACGTGGAGGCGGGGGAGACGCGTCCGAGGCCTGGAGTATAACGGATATGATGTGAGGTGGAAGTTTTCTGACTACGTGATGAAAGAACAGGAGAACTTACCGAGGGGGTGGGTGTCTTCCGACGATGTCCGACCACAGAAGAGAATTTCCTCCCCTTTTTCAGAACGTTGCCGCCACTCGTTGTGGCAGCAGCAGCAACAGCGTCAGACACCTCCTTGGCGACTTTCTTCTTCAGCGACGCCGCCACCTGATGGTCCACGAGCGGCCCGATGATATCAGTCAGAGGGAGAGCCTACGCTTCATGAAGTCATAATGCGATCCCGGAAGAAAAATGCAAAAGGACCGCTGAGTACACTTACATTGATGGCAACGTCGCGCTCGGCTGCCCCTTTCTCGCAAAGGGGGACTTGGACGTTGCTCGCCGTTGTCGGGCCAGTGATCATCAGTTGGCCGACACGGCGCTCCACGGTTGCGCTGTCCAAGCCTGTAGATCGAGACCAGAATCCGATAAGTCGGGAAGAACACGCACATAAGGGAGCCAATTTAACTAAAAAGAAAAATACCCCGAGGAGAAACCCGGGTCGCGTCCTCCGGCCCAGAATAATCAAAGGCTGGATGGGCTCGAGCCTGGAGCGGCTAGATCCGCCTACCAATGAAGTCGGCAGCGACTTCATACCCCGACAATCCCCGTACTCGGAGGTCATCAATGATATCGATGAAAGATTGGAGGGATGGGGTCAAGGCGAGTTTGGCGGTCCAAGATGAAATCTTGTCTAGTTGCTCCTCAGGAACAATAAAAACCGGATCCGAATCTTCTATCTGAAGATAGAACCACCTCCCCCGCCATTTGCTGCGAGATGAGGGGCACTGGAAGAGGATGTATCGCGACTTCAGGCCATCCCGAAGTCGGAAACCGACACATCCAGACACCTTTTTGGGTTCCATCCAACTCAACTCATAGTAAAAGCGGAAGAGGTCAAGAAACGGCTCTACCCCAATGTAGGCCTCACAAAGATGCGAAAAGATACTCATGAAGGCGATGGAATTGGGGTTCAAATGGAGCAAGGAAAGACTGTAGAAATTCAAGACCAAGAGAAGAAATTCAGAAGGCGGAGGAAGAAAACCACAGAGAATAAAGTCCTCGATCACAACCATGCGACCTAGGACAGGTTGGGGTTCAGTACCTCCTACTTCTCTCTCCGCGGTCCCGCGACCGGGAAGGGCGCCATCCTCCTGCAACTTCTTTAGCGACGTGCTGGTGGAGGTAGACTTGTCGAGATCCATTGCCGCCGGGGATCGCCGGAGAAAGGACCGAGATGAGCTAGCTAGGGTTTTTTGCGGGAGCGGAGAAGACGAGGGACGCTTGGGGGCTGGAGAGTTTTTTCACAACAGGCGGACTTCAAATTGGATCCCCAAAACTCCCTTAAATAGACGCACTTCCGACGGTGCGAATTCCAAGGAAAGGAGAGAGATGGCCGTCGGAAATTTCTGGGTCCGTTACGCGCGGCAGTTTTTCGGACTTCAATTTAAATTCACTCATGACCGTTGAGCTTCACCTGGCGTTGTCGATCACTCCTTGTCTCTCAGTCCTCACACCGAGAACGACGACAACTTCGACATCAGAAGTCGCGATCGGTTTCACGAGTTCATATAAGCAGAAGTCGGGGGCTACTGTCAGGGTTACGGGTAAGGTATACCCTTTACCCTTCGATATACGTCACATATTGATATGGTATACTTGCGCGTATACGGACGTTTTCGGCATACGTTAAGGAAATTCATTATGGAGTTCACAGATGGAAGGAGTCCTACTCGGATAGAACTGGGTCGTCATTGTATCGTATCGGGTCCGATGTCTCCGAGTCTTACTTGGAGACCAGTTGACCTGTGGTACAAAAGGGACCCCCCGGGGAGGACCTTGGGCATCGAATCTTACCGCCAACACATCCACCACAGCCTACGAAGCCGGAGCCTACAGGAGCCAAGTCGCCGGGTGATCTAGTCGAATCAACTCGACTACGATCTCGTCGGTATCGTCGAGTTCCACTATTCCCTTTGTAATCTGTGGTTTCCATCATATAATCCCATATCAACTGGATTATGGCTATTACCTATCAAGGGGCCTGAACCAGTATAATCTTTGTTTTCTGCCTACTCGATGTCGTATTACGTAGATCCTCGTACCAGCGTACCCCAATACCCTCTATATCCGGTCTACTGGTAACCCCCGTCGACAATTTCAATTATAACAAAAATGTTGCAAGAATTGAGAACGTTGATTATCTAAAAAAAATTGAGAACGTTGATATTTAGAGCCGGCTTTTGGCATACCTTTATCCTAAAAGCTATATATCTTAATTTTGAATTTAAAATTACATTTTGGTTGCCGGCCTTATTTCCATTTTTACAAGAGAATGACTTAAATTTAAAACTGATATATAATTGTTATAAAAAACATATTTTACAATTTTAGATATTAAAAATAACTATAAAAACAAAGATATTTAAAGACCCCGATGAAATTGACACTTGTCTTTGCTTTAATTTGGACTCATTGTGACAAACTGAATTGAATTGTTTGAGAAGCGATACTTTTTAAAAGCCACCAAATAGGACTTGGACACCCTACTCCCTACTAAGGGTGGACAAAAAAAAATCAAGACCGAAGACCGACAATGAAAAAACCGTATCACGATTAAAAAAAACAGATAAATTAGTCACTGGTCTCCTGTTCGGTCTTAGCTGTGAGAAGACCAATCAAATTCTCGGTTCTTAGCTCTTATTTATTGGTTACCCGGATGGCCGAATAAGACCGCAGTTGGTCCAATGCAAGGGAAACATATCATTTGCAGTACTATCCTTTGACTTTGAGTGACTGACATATAGACCCATGCTCATTAGGCCCACGTGTCATTGACCCAAGTCAGAGGTTAATACCGCAGAGGAGATTCACCCCAATGCGAGATCTGCCACAGTGCCACTGCGCGGTCAGCTTGGTTTAGACCGAAGATCAAACTGCGGTTCGGTTAACCGGAACATGGTTTTTTAGATAAGTTCGGTTTTTCCCATTTGCGCGATTGCCCGGACCGATTTCTCGGTGAGGACCGAAATGGCCGCCCTCGACAGCTTGACGAGGCAACCACGTGACGGGACATCCCATCCGGGCCGTCCATTCCTCCCACCGACGGCCGATCTAGCCTCGTATTCCGTGGCTCCGAATATTTTAAAATTCCCCCGCTCCACATCGTCCCCGACGCAAAATCCCACCCCCACCATGTCCAAAGCCCACACTGACACGTGGGCCCGAAGCGCACTCTGGCCCCACATGCCAGTCACTGCGCTGGCCCCGGGCAGGCCGTGGGCTACGGGGCGAGGAGGCATCTTTCTCGCGGCGGAAAGCGAGGGGGACGACGCGGCTCAGGAATCGAGGCCTGTGGGGCCCACCTCCCCCCTGACGCCACTGCCATGTGGGCCCGGGAGGACAGCGTGGGCGCCACCGCAGCACTGAGAAGGGGAGGAGAGTGGGGCTCTCGGCGACTCGAGTGGGTATAAAATATGGTCTCTCTGGATCCATCCCCTCCTCTTCTTCCAATATTATTTTTTCGCCTTTTCTGTTCGTGTGTTCGTGGTGGAGTTCATCTCGCCTTCCCCTCTTCCGGTCCTCCCACCGCTCCTCGCCACCACAAACCGCCGCCGCCTCCTCCTCTCCTATCTGGTATCGTAATCGAACCAGCGGAAACCGCTATTCGTGTGCGTGTTTTTTTTCTATTCAATTTGTTTGCTCGGGCCGCGTAATCTTGGGAGTTATCTGCAATCAGTTTTCTTTTCTTTCTTTTTCTTTTTTTTTTTCATTTTGAATGGAGTGAATCGTGTGGAAAAGGTGGCTGTTGTAGAGTTTTTAGTCTTACCATGAACTGATTGATCTACGGGCGAGTGGGAATTTAGCCTGTTCTTGGATTTTAGCCTGGTTGCAGCATCTAGTGTAATTGATCCAGTTTGATTTCTTTTTTTTTTTTGGGAATAAATCAGTGTGAGGCAGCCTATGAACCGAACATAAGTATCTAGTATTAGTCTGTGAGACAAACTATCCCTGGCTCTATAAGAGGGAAACCTGATGTGTCTGAAAGAAGTTGCGAGTTCAAGAATTCCTATCTGAAAAAAGCAAAGATCAGGCAAAGATCATCAGTTTGGATCATGTATAAATTTCCCATGTTGCAGTATGTCTTAATTAGGAGGATTATTCATTAACAAATGTCATGCGAAAAATTTATATCTTCGGAAACAATCGCTTTATCATTCATGAGCGAATTATTACTTCGATTAGGCGGATTTGTGATAATTGATGAATAATTCTAAGTAATCCTTGACAGTTCAGTGATTTGGACTGGTACTGGATGGTAGGTGCCCATCTGTGTGCCTTTTTGACTTGTCTATATGCCTTGGTACCATTGTGAAACTTCATGTATTCAGTCTTGTTGGATTTTGTAAGTTGCATTGGAATGATATGCTTATGTAACATTACTAGTGGAGCTGTTGCCCTGATATGTTAGAAATTGTGCCATTTTTTGCAGTGCGGAGGAGGTATACCACACCTTTGGATTTTGGGGAAGCAGTACGTTGATTGGAAGAAATGTCAGGAGGTAGGCAATCATACTGGTGCTACCAATGTAGACAGCGGGTGAGGCCCCGCGGCCAGGATATGGAGTGTCCCTATTGTGATTCCGGTTTTGTGTCTGAAATGGATGATGTTGATGCTCTCATGCGCCACTTTGTTGGGATGGATCCTGATTTCCATCGTGATCCAAGATTCGGTATCATGGAGGCAATCTCTGCTGTGATGAGGCATGGCATGGCGGGAACGAACCGGGAAGTTGATGTGAGAGGAAGGCCAAACATATTTTCTGACCTGGAGATGGAGTTTGGCTCAGGGCCATGGTTGCTCTTCCGTGGCCAGCTTCCTGGTCATCTCTCAGAAGACAATGGTTTTGATGTATTCATCAATGGACGCCGTGGTGTTGGCATGCGCAGAGCAAACATTGCAGACTACTTTGTTGGACCTGGACTGGATGATCTGATTGAGCAATTAACTCAGAATGATCGACGAGGGCCGCCACCTGCCACTCAATCATCGATTGATGCTATGCCTACTGTGAAGATTACACAGAGGCATCTCAGTGGAGACTCACATTGCCCTGTCTGCAAGGACAAGTTTGAGCTGGGATCAGAAGCAAGGGAGATGCCATGCAAGCATTTATACCACTCTGATTGCATAGTTCCTTGGCTGGAACAGCACAATTCCTGCCCTGTTTGCCGATATGAGTTGCCACCACAGAGCTCTACTGGTGCTAGCTGCTCGCGCACAAGATCAACCAACCAAAGTCAGAGTTCAAGTAGCAATGGGAGAACCAATGGACGTCAAAGGAGAAGGAATCCGTTCTCGTTCCTATGGCCTTTCCGATCATCAAGCTCTAGCTCTCGTTAGATTAGCCTGGTAATCTGGTTGGAGTCCTCAAGACTGTTTAATCGAAGATGCTCATAAAATGGGTGTTATGCATGGCATCTTATCGTCCAATCTGTAATGTATGGCTTGTTATGATCACCACGGAATGCTTTTCCTTGCAAGTATATCCTTCCACAGCTTCATATCAGATACTTCTTTTACTATTCTGTTTACATAAAAGGTTAACGATAGTATGATACTTGTTTAGATAGCTAGAGAAGGTTATTTTCTTAATGTTGTATTACTTAATGTTCTACAGCAGAATATACTTCTGTCAACTGTCATTAAGACGTTTTTTTAGCTGTAAATCTCAAGGGATCAATGGTAGCAAGCATGATGATATAATATAGAAGCAAGTTGCCTGAAATTTCAGTTAAATAAGTACTAGTTAATGCTAGGTTGTGTCCTTGTGTCATCCATGTTGGCATATTCTGCCTGATTACTATTTGCCTGTGCGTTTTATAAGGTTGAATTGAACTGCTTACAATCCTGTTTTCTCTTAAACCTGTCTATTTGAAAAAAAAAATGCCATCTTCATACTGATTTCTCAATGTATAGGCATGAATTGATTTTTATACAAAGTTTCCCAAGAACAGTTGCGCTGTTGTGCTATGGCATGTTATTGGTTCTTGTATAGTATTGACCACTGGCGTCTAAATGATTTGCCAGACCACTTGTGCTGTGCCCTGGAATCTCTCGTTAATTAAGTAGGATTTCCTTTTTAAGTCATGGTAAACTATATATTACCCTTGTTATCTTGTTGACTCCACTAACCAATAGGGTCACTGCCTCATGTGAAGAACCAGTCAATGATGCAGGCAGCATTGGATAGTTATCCAAAAGAATAAGGTAGGCTCTGTGACAATACTGTTATGTCAAGTGTTCATCAGATTTTTGCAGCTGGAAACTTGACCTGCAGCTCAAAAACTCTCAGCTGATGCAGTTGATGTTCTCTTGATTACTGCTACTCCATATGCTTTTGCTACCTAGATTAAGATAACTATATTCTCCTCTTGATAGTTTCTTGAGCTTATCTCAACTGGACTTGGTGGTTATGATGTGAAGCCTTTGATTTGATATGAATTCATGGGGAAGGTGATGGCCCTCTTCCTGTCCTGATCCATCCGTGCTGGTTTCTTCAGACAGATCCTTGTCTATCCACAGTGCATTAATCACTTGGAAACTTCACGTGGTCCTCCTGTATCCCTGTATTATGCCCCTAGCAAATGGTTTAGTACTCCATCCATCCCATAAAAAACGTATCAGTATCAATGTGACATATCCTAATATAGATATATGTTTAGGTACTCCTTCCGTAAAAAAAAAACCTAACCTAGGAGTTCGATGGGACATAAGATTATGTCTCATCCAACTTCTAGGTTAGTTTTTTTTTTTTGGATGGAGGGAGTATCATATCTGGTAATATGTTGGTTTTTTATGGAACGAAGGGAGTACAACCGTTTTTCATTCTCCCCAACAGTGAGCTGTGATCACAGCGAGACTCTGCCTTTTTCTTCCATTTCTCCTTGTCATTTTCAGCTTGTTGCTGCCACAAGCCTACAAGTGGTGGTGGTGAGCTGGGTTCAGGATTGACAGTCCGGTCACCGAACCGATATCTCCGGGTTTTTTTTTCGGAAAACATTGGTAAACCGGCAAAACAAGATTGAGAGTTGGATAGATTTTGTCAAAACAAGAAAAACAGTTTGAATTTTTTTTTAAAAAAGATGAACAGGATATTGAGTGGTTTGTCTTATTGAACTGATCCGACCAGTTTTCGCTGGAATTGAGAACCTATCAATTGCTGTGCGTGATGCGTACGGGCTCGAATGATTTTGGGTTCAGCTGCCTGGCTCGGCATGGGCTGATGATGCAGACTGCGAGGAATCTTGCTGCGTTTTGTTTTTTGTTTTGTTCCCCTCTTCTTCCAGTGGATGGCAGTGTCGCTTCCGAAAAGGCTTTGAATTTTGATTGGGAATTTAGGATAATTGCGGCTGGAAGGACAACGACGATTTAGATTAGGCTAAAGTATCCTACGACCAAACTGCACTTGAAACCAATCATGACGACATCTTTGAACGAGCCATGTCCCAAAAAAAAATCATCTTTGTTCCTCAAATAATGAAGCACTTGTTTTGCGCTTGTGAGTTGTGATTACTTTTTCGCGTTCCGTGTTGCTTGGCATAAAAGAAGGATTCCTGCATGCCAGTTTCATGGCCCCTTTTGGGGAACAGAAATGTAGAAATTCTGCGAGATATTATGAAAGAGACTTTTTTTTTAAGTAAATTGCACCCACGGTACAACAACTTGGCAGATGGATGCAATTTGGTGTAATAACTTAAAAAATGAGCGTTATAGTGCAACAACTTGGCAAGAATGTGCAATTTAGTATAAGATCTTTATAAGTGATCGTATAAATGCAACAACTTGCAAGATAGGTACGATTTTGATACAATAAATTAAGAAGTTGTGATAACTTAATTATTTGGAGCATTTTTTTATATAAATTCAAAATTTTAAATACTTGACAATATACTAGCGTGGATTTGTATAAACATATTTATATTTTTATCCTAATAATTAATAACTGAAAGTCAATTAAACTGGATGTAGAAACTATTATATTTCGGTTGATATTTGATAAGGTGAAGAAAACAAAAAAATTCTTAAAGGTAACTGAATGTAAATTGTATGTGCAATATAATTCTTAAAAATTAAACTCAATATTATAAGGTAATATCCATAGGATTACTGTGTATTGGCATATTGACATCGTGAAAAACCTTACCTAGCATATGCTTAGCCAAATTGATTCGCCAAAATATTAAATTGTCAAGTTCTTGTACTAGAACGCAACCACTTGTCAAGTTGTTGCACTCGGACGTTCAATTATCAAGTTCTTGCACTATATCGCATCCATATGTCAAGTTGTTGTACTGTGGGTGTAATTTACTTTTTTTTTACTTCTTTTTTGGGGGTCCTAATGGTTTCTACGACAGTTTTAGCTGACGTAACGTGTTGATTAGGCTGCCTTATGTCTCGCGCAACCATGCTCCCTCGAGAAGCCAAAGAAATGGCGCCCGGACTAGCGAGAGCGGGTTTCCTAGCCTCTCCTCCTCCGAGACACTGCCATCGCCACCCGGCCGACAGCCTCGGCAGCGCTCGGCCTCCTCCAATCTCTACACCCTTGCCGTGAACAAGCTCAGAGATGTGCCGCCGTCGGCTCGTCCACAATTTGTTTGCCTCTTTCTTTGGTGTCTTCTTAATCGAACCTTGGATAACAGGATTAGGATTTGTTATAGACTTCAATTAAAACTTGAGGACTGGCTAGCATCTGACCACCTGGGCGCATAAATCAGTTGAGTACCAACTATAATTTGAGAAACACCTAAAGGTTTTTCGGGCTCCGGCTAGCTTCACAAGATGGTAGGCTAGATAACCTGGGTTCGAAACCTCACCCCTTCTTATTATTTGATATTAGGTCATTTTCTAATATTCGTGTTTCTTTTTACCAACTAAAATTTGGGGCTACAAGCTTGAAATCTCTCCCTCCAAGTAATTAACTAAGGTCAGCTATAGATGTTTTTACCATTACTGACAGATCATCTATTGCCATTGCAAAATTGAATTTATGACGGGTCTTAACTCTTGACACTTTTTATTTTCTATACAAGTGTAGGATGATAGTTGAGGTAGACTACCCTGCCTTTAGTATAATGAAAAACCATGACACCGCATCTTGTATCCATGAAATGAAAATCCTGACAATTAAGGAACACCGTCTTGTTTTCAAGATGATTGATTTTTTTTGTCCGTTCAAAAAAAAAGAAAGATGATTGATTTTCCTTTTTTTGCCAGTAAAGCATGTTTCATGAACTCCACAAAATGCCATCTAGAATTGTGAAGTCAGCATACATCATACATGTCTTATTTACAGCAACTAAAACTTCCGTAAACAATATTCTTATGTCGCTAACTATTAATTCCTTTTTCGGATAACAAATATTTTCTTCAGATCTGAATATAGTGTATAAAGTGAACTTTCCTGGCATAGAATGAAACAAGCGCAAAGATATACGAACTCTTCTTTTTTAAAGGATTAGTTTGTGGTTTCTGTGCTTGCTTTGTTGCCCTGCTTATTTGTTTTAAGTTGTCATGGAAATGAAAACCTATGATCGTTATACTTTTCGCAGAACAGATTTAGGTTAGGTAAAATTGTTATCAACTATCCCAATTGTTCCATATTTTTGGAACACAATAATGGTATTGCTTGCAAAATGGATTAAATAAAAAGTAATTTGTCAAACACCAAAATGACTAAAAGCGGTTACACTAAACGAGATTATGATAACCCACTGCTATGCCAAATGGAGCTTTACACTGTTATCTTTTGTGTATGTAATCTGATGACTTCTTCACTCCCTTCTCTATCTAAAAGAACTCAATATCTTCTCTTTGGTGGTAAATTTCTAATACATTTGCACTAACACGATGCAGCATCAGCCTCTGGCCTATTGTCCCCCTGCTGGGTCATTACATCACTCGTATACCTGTGTATGCGACTACTGTAGAGATGTTTCTCCCAGATGGTGAATTTCCTGAAAACCTTGGATCACCATTTTGCAAATGGACCTGGCTGTCAACTTCAGATGATTTTCTTTGGTGATCCTTATGTAAATACATGTATAATGCAAGCTGAAGGGGGTGTAGTCGTGGTCAAAGCCCTAATGATGTCCGGTCCTAATCGGCTTACATTCTCTGTGCTGCTTTGTACAATCATGCTGCAGATCAAATAAAGATATGGCGTTTTTGTTGAGATCTTAATGAGCTGAATTTCCTCTAGACTGAGAACATAAAAGGATACTGGTGGGGTTGGGGATATCATGTTATTATTCTACTTTTGACATTAAGAAACAGAAACATTCTTGAAGTTTTTCTTATGAAGCTAAATTTGCAATACTATAGTCAATACAGGAAGATTCATCCGGGAGCATACACAGAGATATCAGCAGCATGGGAAGCAATTTCTTTACTTCTATGATGTTGATGATTTCTCACTTGTTTTTGTGAATTCAGAGAAGAGGTCAGTAATACAGTATCACTATTTATGTCTGTTGATACTCTGGTAGCAACAATGATTCTGCTTTGTGGAAAAGCTACCTATCAATGCCAGAATCTGTGTCAAGATTTGCTGAGAGACTGAGACCCTTCAAACAGAAGCAGGAAACTGTTTGGACAGAATCCTATGAAATCATGCAAGTATTCATTGAATTTCTCAAAAGCTACTGGGTAAGTCTGTGTGCTTGTAATGAGATAGCAGGCTATTAGTTAGCTATAAACATATTTTAATGAGATAAACGATGAGAGAGAAGAGCAGCGTGCTACAAATCTGTAGCCAGCTGCAGCACGGATTCCAAGACGCAATATGTGTATGACAGGTGTGACCATATATTAATAGTATAGTAAATAATTATTGTATGAATTAGCTATTAGATTGGCTATAGATAAATTGGAGCTAGTAGTGAGCTATACTATTAAACTTGCTCTAATAATCTTCATGCCAACGTGCTTGGATTTTTTAATCTCCGGAATACCTTAATCTTCATTAGCATAGCAGATACATGGTGGTTTTCATGATGATTTTGCTCAGTGGTTCACCTCATAGTTGAAATCATTTTGTACTCCACGTGTGTGCTCTCTACTGCTTCAGGTAACTAAATTATACTACATCCCTTTTATGTACTCCAAATTGACAGTGTTGAGTGAACTATACACAGTTTGACCACAATTTTTTCAACAAAAGAATTTATATACTTGGAACTCCACAATACCATTATGGCAGTATGATGCGAAATAAATCTAAGCAGTGTGATTGTTAGGCTGTATTTAGTTCACGCTGAAGTTTGGAAGTTTGGTTGAAATTGATACGATGTGATAGAAAAGTTGTGTGTATGAAAGGTTTGATGTGATGGAAAGTTAGAAGTTTGAAAAAAAAATTTGGAACTAAACAGGGCCTTAACCTACCAACAATGACAACATAGAAATTGCTATTGGTCAAAGTTTGAACAGGATATTCAACGCTGTCATTTATCCTAAAATGGAGGTAGTAGATTGATGGCTTGACAGAATCAAGAGACCAACACATGTATATAGGTTACCTTTACATTTCAGATACAAAACATTGGCTGTACTATAGATTTGCCTTTGGACAGAATAAAGTAAGCAAGCATTCAAGTAACCTTCTTTATTTGATTCCAAATGTGGCGTGACAATCAGTTGAAACCCAAAAAACTTTTCTATCGGTTATAATAAAGTCATTAAAGAAACTATCAACATCTAGTTGTAGGTAGTGGGAGGTAATTTCAGGGCTAGAACAAGGAAGGTGTAATCAAGAAAAGTGCAGAGAACTTATCTTAAGGTCCAGTTGAATGGTGAACCATCAAGGGAAAAGCATAGCAAAAATGGAATAAACAATGACACTGAACGAATGATGACAAAAAGAATAAATGTGATTCTGCTGATCTTCTCTCATAAATAAAATCCAGTAAGTTAGCTCTTCCTACCAATTCTAGAAATTGCAAGAAACTATTTTCCTAAAAGATGAATCAACAATAACTTATTTTATCATATATATCAGCATATGATATCTAGTTGCTGGTCTGATTCTTTAAGATATATTATTCTTCAGTGCTCAAATTGCTTATTTGTTGGTGCGACTGTTATCTGTCTGACTTCTTCTTGAGACCTTTGCTGGACTATGTGTTTGAGAAGAAGGGGATTGAGGAGATTGAGAAGATACGCAAAACGAGTTTAGCCATTAGCTCATGATTAATTGAGTATTAATTATTTTAAATTTTAAAAATGGATTAATATGATTTTTTAAAGCAACTTTCCTATAGAAAATTTTTACAAAAAATACACCGTTTAGTAGTTTGGGAAGCGTGCGTACGGAAAACGAGATGCTTTCTCCCTCGATGTCCTCCAAACGAACGCTGCCTTTTTTCTAGTTGCCAGTTCATGTCATTCAAGTTGCTCGACCCTGAATTCTGAATTGGAGAACAGTATCTCCAACCGACAGCGATGTGCGGTTGTCCCATTCAGGCGACCGACATCTCAAACTGGTCCAGTGATTTGAGCGTCTCTGCGACAGCCAGCAGATATGCTTAAAATACTAAGTACTCCATCCATTTCATATTATGGTTTAATTTTTTTGTTACTAAGTTTGATCAAATTTATAGAAAAAATTAGCAACACCTAAAATATTAAATTAATTTCATTAAATCTAACATTCATAATATGTTTATTTTGTGTTGAAAATAGTACTATATTTTTCTATAGATTTGATCAAAGTTAAAGAAGATTGACTAGGAAAAATGTTAAACGGCTAACGGAGGGAGTAGATTACTATCTACTCTGCGGTGCCCAAATACAAACGGTGTTCTCCCCTACTTGCAAGAGTTCTTTGATTGGGGCTCCATCATCCATGCTATGAGAGGAACCCATTCTCTTTTGGAGGGTACAAGCAACTCTGTCCCCAGGATGCTTCACTTTCCATGGTAAGACATGATGCCATTTAGATGGTACTGTTCTATCTTTTATGCGTTTCTTTATAACCAGTTGTTCACTTGATACTACACAGTTTGCCATTTGGATGGTACCATCGCATCTTTATGTGTTTCTTTATTACCAGTTGTTTAACTTGATACACATTTTGCAGTATTTGCACAGCTCCTGAGTGGCTTGGTTGTAGGTAAGGCCATTGATACCCTGTAACTGTGAGAAAATGTGCAGGGACTTGCAGGTTACAAAGCATATGACCTTACATTGCGAGGTTGTGCGTTTCATGCATCTCCGTTGCTGGGAGAATTTGTGCTGACATAACCTGATCCTACATGCACATTTTCTATGGTCAAATCAATGATTGTAATTTCGGTAATTTTAGACCCCCACCGGCTAATCAATATATCAACCGAAATTTTCGGATTTTCTCAAATGTTTGTTGAATTTGGTCAAAGTTTATTCAAATCTAGTCAAAATTTATTAAAATTAAAAAAAACTATCCAAAGAGTGCCGAAAATCACAAAATTTTGGTCCAACCGAATTTTTGGCTGAAATCGAAAATGCAAATCCTGGGTCAAATCCGCTTGCTCATTTCAACTTCTCCAAGTTAACTTTCTTAACCTCGTTTATTCTTCTTGAACCATGCCTGACTTGAGATACTTCCCTTGCATCATTTGCAAGGCATAATGACATAATCCAAGGTTACTATTTTTTTTAATCAAAATTAACGGTAGGCTTTGAATCTTAATTCCGACGCCTCTGTCGACGTCGTATCCTCACTTACCCCTTGTTACTGTGATTACCCAGTTGTTCTTGTTCAGACGAACCAGATGAGATGTCCAGATGCAGTCGCAGACAATGAGAAACATCGAAGAACCATCGCCTCTGGTGGGTGGAGTCATGGAAGCAGCAAAATTAAGCACGTTGGCGCTTCCCACCAACCATTATTGTTCAAAGTTCAAACCATTCTTGTTCAAGTCTTCAAAGGACAACACTAGTACATGGTAGTGATTGAGCTACATGACTTACATGCATGCGATGCAAATTTGTCGTGGATTTATTTGTAAAATCTGATTTTAGGCGTCGATTTACGTTAGGGGAGGTACACTCGTGTGTATGTGCGTTAATTTAACTCTCTATTTACATAGAGAAATAAAAGGAAGTAAAGGGGAAAACACAACGCTAACACGCATTACATATCAACGAAATTTCTTAATGTTCTTTTTGTGCAAAAAAGTGAAAGAAAGAAAAAAGGGGAGAGGAACAATCTGTCCTACACGTTGATTGCACTCACGCACTATGTATCAACAACAAGAGGTTAGTTCCTAAGCAACTACTAGTACTAAGTAAGGTAAGGTAACCACCCTTGTTCTCTTTCCATCACCTCACGCACCAAACTCACATAATTGTAGCTTGCAACGTTGCCAAAACCACAGGGTTTGTTACTGATTAAAACTGTTTGTTTAATCCAGAAACACAAAACCAATTTATACTGAACAAAAAACAAGCAATATTGCACACATACGTTACTGGTCAGTTTTGTACTCCCTCCAGCTAGAATATATCAACTTAGGACTATACGGATTTGTACGTCCCATCCGACATCAAAATATATCAATCTACATCAAAATATATCAATCTACGACTATACGGATTTTCCGATATCATAATATATCAATCTAGAATTATACGGATTTGTATGTCGCATCCGATACTCGATTGCTATAGCTACCCTTTCAGGCTTCATGGAAGGCCCGAGGCCAGGCACGCCTCCCAGAACTTGCGGTCCTCCTCCTGCCGCCTCGCCGCCGCCGCCGCCGGGTCCTCGTCGTCGCCGTTGTCATTCGGCGGCGGCGGCCAGAGGAAGCTGCTGCTGCTGCTGCTGTCATGGCGGCTCCACCAGCTGCCGAACTGCTGGCTCCTCCCTTTCTCCTCCTCGTCGCGGCGCCGCCCCGCCCCGCCGCCGCCGGCCGCCGCGCCATCGTCGCCGTCGACGCAGCTGCTGCACCCGTCGTCGTCATCGTCCCATCGGCCGGCGCCGCCGCCGCCGCCGCTGCTGTCCGACGACGAGAGCTCGATCACGCCACCGTTCGCCGCCGCAGCCGCCGCCGCCGCATCCGTCGTCGGGCAGCGCGACTCCGCCACGCCCTCCTTCCAGCCGTGGCAGTAGTAGTAGTACGGCGCCTGCGGCCGCGCGGCGACGCTCACCGGAGGGGGCGCCGCCGGCGCCGGCGCCTGCACCGGAGACGGTGGCGCCGGCGGGTGTGGCCGCACGGTGGCCATGAGACACAAGAGATCGATTTGTTTGTTTGGTGGGTAAAAGAAAATGCTTGTGGATTTTGGTTAAGTTTGGGCGTGTACGTGTGCACATAGTCATATATATATACACACGTGGAGAAGCCTACTTGGCTTAGCCAAGTAGTGGTAGTTAATAGGGAATATTAGTAGTATTTCTGTGTACTACGTGCACATGCATGCACGTTTTGCCGAATATTAACTGATAATAAAAGCTGTGCTTGCTCCTGATGAATAATTAAAAGCGGCCGCAGCTGCCAAGCAAGCAGTTCAAGCTGGAGTAGCAATTTGGTTGTTCAGTGATCAAAAAACAAAATGTGTTGCTGCTTTTGGGGACTGTTAGGAGTGTAACATAGCTTGGCCCCTTACCGTTGTTTGGAGTTTGTGTTTAGCCACCGTAGTTTTCTAAGCTTCAGTTTTTTTATTTTGACTTTTCTCCCTTCCTCTGGCATAAGCCGGTCTAGCTGATTGCGTTATGTAACTAAAACTCTTTTCTTCTAATATATTGATATGCAATCTTTTTACGCGTTCATGAAAAAAAAACAAATTGTGACTTAATAAAAGACAAAAAAATGAAATGTGATTTTTTTTCAGAAAAATAATTTTTGGTAGGTTTTTTGAGTTGTCTTCCTAGCAAATTATGGCCATGTTGGGTAGCTAAGACTATCGCAACCGCTGCGGCTGTGACAGTTCAAAATCACTGTAAGCTACAGTAATTTTGAACTGCTGCAACCGCAACTATTGCGAAAATAACAGTCGAACACACCATCTGAAAGTAAACCTTGACAACGGAAGCTACATATATATATGAAGGAAAGCCTGCCTAAATTTATTTTGAAATTCAAAATGAGATACAGTTTTTCTTTTTGGTAATGAGATGCAGCTTTAGAAGAAGGGATGTGAAAAGTGTGCTCCAATGCTCTATATACTTCGAAGTATCCCTTCTACATGCACCATTTGTTATCGGCTCCATCTAATCTTGCATTTAGTAAGCTCTGACATAGTGACACCCATAAACACTGGAGTTACCATCACGTGTGCTTATCGCTGTCAAATTATATTTCGAGCAGGTCGTTAATATCAATATATTGGTCAACCATTGTTCGGTGGAAAAGCTATGTATTATTCTCGTCTGATCAGTTGGGTTAAAAAATTAGAACACGTACAGCAGAATAATGTTTGCCATATAGTCCATAGGTAAAATGTTTGCCACATTTCAGAGGAGAGTAAATGAACAAACTCTTACTATGAACTTTGTGAAATTATAGTGTTTATTTGATCATTATCTTTACTAGTACTCTTCAAATTTAGAGAACTGTTCGTCCCCTCTTCCCTCGTGCTGCGTGAATTTACAATCCACTCATTATTATGTACTCAATCTGTTTTAAAATATAACTACTTTATATTTTAGAAAAGACAAATGGATAACTTATAATTTATTAATTAAATTGCAAACAATTACTCTTCATTTCGATATGATAAATATTCTTCGAAGTAAGTTTAATAGTATAGCCAACTACTAGCTCTAAATCATCTATAGTCAACTTAATAGCTAATTTATAGAATAGTTACCTATAAACATATATTATACTATTAATGTATGTTCTCATCTATCATATGCATATTGTGTCTTAGATATCTGTTTATAGCTAGTTTATAGTCTGCTATTGTACTTGCTCTCGGAAGGCATCAGCCGACCAGCCGGAACACTGTGTCTATTAATTGTACAACCCCTTTATTAGATGGATATGCATGCATAATTGCAGAGGAAAACAGCAGGCTTTATGATACTGACAGGTGCCAGCTGATTTGATTCCTCCTCCTGATCTCCTTCTAGAAGGATACGAGGGTTAGGCAAACGGCATGTGCAGCTGTGCAGTGCAGGGCTGGGCTGCCTTCTAGAAGGCCACGGGAAGGAAGGACGGGATTTGCCTCGGTTACGTTTTCTTTTGGATTCCAGCGTCCCATCTTTGTACGTTTCCCACATGTTCCTGATTGATTTGGTTCCGAAATTAGGAAAAAGCAATGTGCCATGGGCCTCAAACTGTCCCAATGACTGTCCTTGCTGTTGGTATATAAAGATACAAATTTCACCTCATCTTTCGTCACCACGCTATCCAAACGGTTAAACTGTACATTTCGTATGAAAACTTTATAGTATACTCCCTCCATACTCGTAAAGGAAGTCATTTTGGACAGTGATACGATTTACAAAATACAACTTTGACTTCTTGTTTCTATAAAAATATTTATTAAAAATAATATATGTATATTTTTATGAAAGTATTTTTCAAGACAAATCTATTCATATAATTTTTACTTTTTCAAACTCAACAACTTGAGAGTTATTTATGATTTAGGGCTTGTTTGGTTTAGTACCCTACCAATATATCGGTAGTGCCAAACTCTAGGCAAGTTTTGGCACTACCAATATTTTGGTAGGGTAGAATTGTAAATGAGTGTCTTTGGATTGATGCCAATTGAGAGCCAAATTTCAAATTATGGTGAAGAACATTCTAGAATTGTGCCAAATTGAGTATAGGCATTACCAAATATTTGGCTTTAAACCAAATCATCACATTTACTATTTAAACTACCAAAACATTGGTATGGCAACATTTTGGTATCAAACCAAAACGGCCCTTATATTCCCAAGGTTTGACTTAAACATTGTCCTAAACGACTTCCTTTACGAGTACGGAGGGAGTATACTAGTAGGAATTGGTTGAAAATATCAGATAAATCTATTATTTAAGTTTATAATAATTAAAACTTAGTTAATCATGCACTAATAGTTTAATTTCATATTTTTCGTGCTATAACTCTGTCTTCATCTTCATTAAAAATAAACACTAACTAGCATGATCCTAATGCATATGGAGTGCAATTGATTTTGATCCCTGCACAATTTCTTGCAAGGGACTATAGACTATATTCCCTCCCTCCCTTAAAAAAAAACACCAACTTTTAGCTATCTAGGTTATATTCAGATACATATCTAGAAGTTGGTTTATTTTGAGACAGATGGTGTAAGTAGCTATGTGTGGCTTGTTTGGACAAGTGTTCATAATTTTATATTGGAACAAAACAGACAAATTTCATGAATTTGAAGGGAAATTTTGATTTTAGAAAAAACATAACTAGTTGGAGGTATGAAGTCTTATGGTAGTTGACTTCGAAATCAATTTCATGAATTTTAAGGGAAATTTTGAAATTGATTTCAAACATCCAATCAATAAAAAGCTGAATATAATTTGGAATTCAAATTGATTGGATGAATGAATTAAAATTAAATTTTGGGTGACGGAATTCAAATGATATTGCGAGCCCTGATTGGATGTATGAAATCGTTTTTATCTAAATATTTGATTCTTCTTGCAGAAAAGAAGAAAAATTGTCCTTACCAAGTGTTGACTCATAGTGAGGTTTATGTAAAAATTATTTGCAACTTCCTCGTAAAACACTTACGTTAGTCCATTCTTCCGGTCCTCGATCTGTAAAAAAATGCCTTGTGGATCTTCATATACTTTCAGCAAAAGATCGATGTAGATTGCAGAGTCATGTGTGCACGCAAGGTATTTTTAGAGAGAACAAAAACGTTTCTTGTGCTTGCATGCCCTTCTAGATGCAATGTTTTCTACTAGGCGCATTTCGATCTGCCACGGCTAGCACCATGGCGTAGTTATAGCTTGCTTATGATCATCTCATGTGCACGAGTTTAGTGCAGGATTTGACGGATTTTTGCAGGATTTTTCGCTCTACTTTTTGACTAAGGGTTGACGCGGCTGAAGCTTCCTGGCTCAACTGAAGGTTGAGTGATTCTCGTCGTGCGTCCAACGATCGATCGCAGGCGCAGCCAAGTTGACAACAATGGATTTGCTCTTTGCTCTCAAATCTTATCCTCTACAGCTCTACTGCGACCATTGCTAGTGTCATTGAAGAAGTTGCGACGACTCCACCTCCAGTGTAATCTTTATTTGTAGTTAGAACAGATCTTGTAATGCTTGTGGATCATCTAATAACGACGCGGTTTACAAAGCAATTCGGTAACTGAAAACAGCTTTGGAGTGGTTTTGTCGATGCATAGACATGATTACATCTCCGTTATCGACGAAAACGAGTGAAACCCGAAAAAATTTTCTACCAAAAAAAAATTGAATTTCAGTTCAATTTATTTTTAAGCTTGACCGATTTACCGATTCGTACCGGCTTGATGAGTCGATATTGTGAGTTGTGACATTTGTCAAACTTCGTAGGTATAAACTGTCGTTGTATGATTCAGATGCTGGTGTCTACCAATATTACATCCACGTAAATACATTTTCTCCGCCTTCTTAACGTGTGTCAAGGGGCCGCACTAGCAGATAGGTGAGTATGTGTTTGCGTGTCCTTGAATTTTGGTTATATGTTTCACTGGAACATTGATAAATTTATATAATTTTATGTTTGTAATCTATCACACAAGGGCATTTGGTCTAGTGGTATGATTCTCGCTTTGGGTGCGAGAGGTCCCGAGTTCGATTCTCGGAATGCCCCCGGCTATCTTTTTTTTGTTCTTTTTTTTCCCCTACGTTTCGTACTTGTGTACTTATTAACATGCTGTGCACGTTCTATTCGACTCGTTTCAAGTTTCAACTGCACTTTTACGCGTTAAGCTGCGCCCCACTTGGATGGCAGAGACCAACCGGGCAACTGGCCTAGCCATCGGTGAAGAAATACAACCGTATCCCCGTAGAAAAACGCTTTTGGGCAATAGCCTAGACGATCCGATCCTCTCTTTCACCACATTGAGAAAAACTTTTATATACGTTTCCTTTGCAATTAAAAAACAAATACTAAAAAATAAACTACATTGAGAAAACTACAAAATCAACTCCAAATTAAATTTTAAATTTTAATTTTTGACTTATAAGCATAAGCGAAACACAATTGGACTCGGGGACTGATTGCCAATCTTACTTGCGTTCCGTTTACTCGCAAAAGCAGAGGGATGAAACGAGCGAACAATGACCAATCGCAAAAGTACGGACGAAACGAGCGAACAGATGTAACGACATTCCGAGGAAGAGAGCAACATCGAGTCTACAAATGGTACCCTTCAGCTTAAGGTTTAACACAAAACACATAGTTCATTGGGCGCCAACGATGCGGGCGACAGAATGGTACACCAAAAACCATGCGCAGAGATCAGGTGCTTATTGTAGAATCTAGAGTAGCCACTCAGGTAAAGACGAAACGGCTAAGAGCTCGTAGAGTTTCAGGCTTCTGGTGCTGGGAGATGGAAGGTGAGTTCACACCTCCAGGTTTCAGCCTTGAAGTCCGATGATCCCTGAAGTAAAATTGGGAAAGAATTAGAGAAAAGGAGATGAAGTGGTGAGTCGATCAATATGTGACACGAAGCTGATTTTCAGGTGGGCTGGATTGTACGGCCTCTGAACTTACCGCAAGCAACACGGCCACCAGCGTTTCCGGTGGTCTTGCTCAGCTCGTGCCCACCTAAAAGAGCACCAAAACCAATGAATGTTATTTAAGCTGCACTGATAACTGGCTCACTGCAATGAGAATTGGCACAGATAGGTTTATGGTGAAGTGCACAGATAGGAGATTCAAGTCAAATAGTTTATGGTGAAGTGCACAGATAGGAGATTCAAGTCAAATAGTGCCTGGCATAGCAGAACAACTTATTCAAATTTTCCATGTAAAGTTCAGATATCCTTTACCCCCAAAGGTAAAAATGCCTACAACACAGTCGTGTGCAACTTGGTATGATAAAACAAAAGGACCCTACACATTTCTGACTACTAACTCAGCATGTTTATGCAATCCATTCAATAGAAAGTGATTGTTGTCATCATAGACCCAACAGTAGTGAGATCTTCCTTAGCAAAAGAGAAGAAAAGGAGCACACAAGCACACAGACAAAATAAATGAGCACAAACAGTTGTCTGTAATATTACCCTTTCCAAGATCATCAGGATCGGCATGCACAACGACGGCTCTGCCAATGATTGAATTTGGTCCAGTAAGTGGAATCTGACACAGATAAATGGTTATCCATGTTAACACACAGGAAAAAGAAAGAAGGAAAAGACAAGGTAACAGCAGAATAATAAGGGGATGTGTGGTATTGGTTCCATAAATCAAATGACGGAGAATGTTCTTTTTCTGAATGTTTACTTACCTGACTGTCAACAACATGGATATTAGCAACACCTGACAGCAGAGAAATAAACTCTCAGCAACAATTATTACTACAAATTGACAATGAGTTAAGGACTACAAGACCACAACTAATATGGTTATGTTAAATCATTAACAGGTATGGAACAAATAAAAATTCGGAATAAAGTATTACTACAAATTGACAATGAGTTAAGGACTACAAGACCACAACTAATATGGTTATGTTAAATCATTAACAGGTATGGAACAAATAAAAATTCGGAATAAAGGGAAAAAGAACAAACCATCTTCTCCAGCGGTGACATTTCCAAGATCACCAGCATGGCGGGTCTCATCTTCTGGTGCTCCATGCTCCTTTCCGGCAGGATTGTAGTGTGGCCCTACATTATGAAACAAGTGCATCATAAGTAATCAATTCAACAGATGATGATAGCCTGTATCAATCCTGATGGTACATCTAGGCAGGCGAGAAGCCAATATATATGTAATAACAATAATAATTACCAGTTGACATGCAACCATTGGTGGTGTCACCAAGTGCATGAATATGGAACCCATGGAGACCAGGCTTGAGGCCAGAGACACTTCCAGTCACAGTGGTGGGACCTAAGAATCAAACATGCCAGTAAATCTCAACGATTCAAGGACTAAAATTCAATTCAAGACAATCATGAAAATGGTGATGACTGATGGCATACCATCTCCCTCTTGGACAAAGTGGATAGTGCCCTTAACAATCTCACTGCTACCAAGCACAACAACAGCCTTCACCATTGTTAATGTGATCTGTAAACAAATTCCACAAAACAGTTACTTAGCAAGTGGCAGAAGTAGCCTCTAGAGGTCCTAAAACCCAACCAAGTTCCCAAAGAACATATTGAACTATGAAATTATCCTAGTGAAGATTGAAAAGATGTTAAAGCAGAAGCAACACAGACGCATCATTTACTACTAGTCAGAAAAAGATAACAATATGGCCCAATGATCTATTGTTTTTTCCAAAGCATGTAAACCAAAGGCATCATAGAACAAATGCCACTGCCCACTGCAAACATACTAGATACAAACAAAACACACGTCTAGTATAGAGGAATTATCCCTAGAAAATCGGTTTGGGATATGATTTCCCACCCATCTAAAGGGTAAGTTTCAATCTTAGCTATCCATTCTTCTCACCCCATTTCATCCTATCCCTCCATTCATTTCTGCATGAAGGGATCGAATTCACGAGGAAACTGTCTGTTGGCTAGTCCAATAACTCCCAAATCTACAATTCTCTACATCCACCCAATCCCCCGACATATCAGGGAAGGACACTCTGCAATCAACTCCACACTTGCAGAAAAAACATGTCTAAATCTAATCATGAACATATCACAAAGCCCATCGCATCATGAGCAGCCAGAGCCCAGTACACAATTCCAATGATTATTACTAGTAATCGGCAACTAACAAATCCGTATCCCTCCGCAGCAGCACGAATCATCGCTCAAAAGGAAAAAAAAAAAAGGAAGCAGCAGGTCCACGCATCAAAACACTCTCGCATCACTTGAACTTGCATATGGATTCAAACACACGAGACGAGCCGTTCCTCCCCACCAACCAACCAATCGCCCCGAACCAACAACACCGATCGATCAATCAACATCCACAACAATCCCCCCCCCCACCCCCAGCCCGCCCGAAGCCCCAAATCCCCGCGAAGCAGCAAGACCAACAAGGAAACACCGATCCCATCTGAGATCCACACGCAGGGAGGGAGGGAGACCCACCGCCTCCCACGAAACCGGAGGAAGCGAGGCGCGGTCGAAAACCCTAGAAGCTTGCTTGGGTGGGGGGGGGGGGGGGGGGTTGTTGGGATTCCTACCTCAGGCGACCCCCGCGGCGACGACGAGGAGGATGAAGGAGGAGGCGAGGCGACTCCTGCTGGTTTGGAATCTGGAGCTTCTGGAAGGTTCCCCTCCCTCCAGCGGTGTGCGGTGGTATTTGTAGTCAAACTGGCAGCTTGCAGTTGCAGCCACCAGCCAACATTGAGGGCCCTCGTTTATTTATTATAATAATAATTTAATTAAAAAAATTTGGGGTCTCATCTTTTCGCTCATGTTTATCACAACCAAATTTTGAAATTTTCAATCTTAAATTATAGTTTATTTTAAGATTTTTTTCATCGAAGTTTTTTTTTCATCTTTGCATTTAGATCGCTAAAAACACATATATAAAAGTTTTATTTATAAATTATTTTTCGTTTGTAAATATGTTGTTTCGCTTTTTTCCCGAATAAGAGAAACGACGGTGTTGTGTATTCTTAACGATTTAAATGTTAATACTGAAAAATAACCTCTGATGAAAAGACTTTTTTGATGTTTTTGGACATCTAATGTTTGTCGGAGGGAGAGTAGTACTATAAATAATATGGTAGAATAAAGTGTTTTAAGAATATTTTTTTCGGGGAAGAAATTTCATTTTTAGAAGCACGGCAATAATTTTCGATAGATGAGCTTGAAGATTAGGCTTCAAATACTACTCGTATAATAATCTTCATCGTTGAATTTACAATTTATGCTCTACTGAATATGGCCGTAATACTGCCATCTAACCCTCTTACGTTATTACTCTCCCGAGCGAGTACCATCGTCTTGTGTGTACACCGATTCTGAAAGGACCGGCAATTTCCAACCACGTTTTTTTTTTTGACGGATTTCCAACCACGTTTTGTTGACACTAATGCTGCTGCAAGCAGTGTGTGTGAAAGGGATATCTGGCATACTCACCGACCACACCCGAAGAATTAAACTCAGCTGGGAGCACTTCATTTTAATTGACCAATAGATCCAGATCAAGCAACACAATTCATTGCGCCAGACCAATCCATCTATGACGGTCTATCTACGATGGACCAAAAAAATTTGTCTCTGACACGAGTTAAACTAAATCCCGTTGTAATGAAGCTCAAGGAAATGACTAGCCACATGTAAGAACTCATCTATGATAGATTTATATAAGGACCGACACATAACATCTCTGATGAGCTCACACACAGGCCCATCACAGATGACCTCTTATCTATGATGGGTGTTGAGTTTGCATTCATCACAGATGAGATACCCCACTCAAATATGTTCAATTCTTATAACCGTTAGTGATGACTAAAAAAAAATCCCCCCGGGCCTGCCAACCCGCTAGCCTGCTTGCCCTTTCTCCTCCCCTCCTCCCGTCCCTTCTCCTCTCCTCCTCCGATCTCTCTCCCCCGATCTCTCTCCCTTTTCTCTTTCTCCCTTTCTTCTTCTCCGACCACTTATCGTCGTCGTCGATTGTTAGGAGCTGTCTTCCCATGCCCTCATGCAACCGCCGACCATCAGCCGCACTGACCTCTTTCCCACGATCGTCAGCCATCGGATTCAGCCTCCACAAGCATCGCCGTCTCCTTCGCCTGCTGCCGATTGTCTGCTCATCTCATTCACCCCCAAGCGTTGTCGGCCGTCTCTCCGCCCCTAAGCTCCGGCCACTGCCTCCTTCACCCACCGCCCAAGGTCGTCGGCAGCCGCCTCGAGCTCTGGTGCACTAGATCTAGTCTCTAGGTGGTTAGGAGCCACTGGATCGGGATGGCCCCTCGAGCGTCGGTCGCCGCTGCCATTGTCTGCTCGTCTCGTCCATCCCTGAGCTCTAGCCTCCTTCACCTTGCGCCCAAGGTCACGGACTGCCGCCTTTCCGTCACGCCGAGCTCCTTGGCGCTAGATCCGGTGTCCAGGTAGTTGGGGACCACTGGATATATCCTCCTTTGCCCCGTGTTCTATTCTGGTTAATTTTGTGATGTGTTTCGTGTTGATTCCGTGATGCTCGGATGTGTGATTGAGAATGTGATTGTGATTATTTTTATGATTTGTGAATTTGTGAGATGAATGCAACTGAATGAGCAATAGAATGGAACAAATATTGTTTTTTCATTGGTAATCTACATCATTGATGGGCCGCATTGTGCTACCTGTCACAGGTGTTACCTGTGACGAGTTATGATGTCACCAGTCAAAGGGGTCAACATCACCTCTGACGGGTTACCATTTGTAGCTCATAAGAGGTGTCCCATAATAGAGATAAGTTTAGTCATCATTGACCACTTATCTCTCACCAGTGCCCTACCCGTAAGAGGTGATAGTCTGAGCTCATCACTGATGACCTGAACCATTGTAGTGATTGTTGGGATAGTAGGATTATTCTAGCCCTATACAGACCATGGTATTACTCATTCTGTCCTAAAACATTTATCATTATTGATTGCTTAGTGTAGATTAGGGTTTAAGAAAATAAATTATAGTTTCCTTTGTGTGATCGGTATGAAAAGGGTTAGGTTCATCCCTATTCTTTAGATGGGATAGAGTCCTATTGATCTATCCGTTTAAAATGGGGGATGGGATGGTCCTACTTTCCAAGTGATGGCTTATATATCAGCGAGAGAAAAAAATGAATTGGATTGGTTTCTTAGTTTTTTCATGGATAATGTCAACCAGGATCTTATAGAAATATCCTATATCAAGAACCATCCTATCTCACCTATCAGTCTAACTTGGCTGTGAAACTGTGCATATTGTGGATTTATAATGTGTTCTCTTTGCTATGGATTTCTATATATACTCTATATAATATTTATATATGGTTCTACTTTGATTGACATACTTCTATGGTGGTGTTCTTTCTATTGAAAATAAAGATGAAGTTAGAGCATGGAAAACAAGAAACCTATTAGTACATGATTAATTGAGTTTTAATTAGTACAAAGTTGAAAAATAAATTTATATGATATTTTAAAACAACTTCTATAAAGAAAGCTCGCACAAAATATATTGTTTAGCAGTTTGAAAAACGTGATAACGAAAACCAATATAAATTCTATACCTTAAGACCATTCCCGGTGGGTGTTTCATTTTGTTCTTTTCAGGAGTGTCGCATAATCTAAAAATATTTGGGTTGATGAATGAAACAAAAGTCTCCAATACACAGTTTCATTTCATAGTTTCTCATATGCTACCCATATCATTTAATTATTCAATGGTGTTATGAAACTATTTGGTTATAAACTTATAATGGGGTTTATTTTCTTTTCCAAGACATATGATGAAATGATTCAGTCCCAACGCAGTTTCATTGTTTCGTGTGTAATATTAATTTCATCTAAATGAAACTCATTCATTCTCTCTTAATAAATTTCATGTTATATCATCTTTTGATAAGATTGAAACTCTTTTGAAACTTGCACTGACAAGGCCTAATCACAAAAGAACAGGACGGGATCCGTGAAGGTGAAGCAGAGAGAAGCTGGACCATTTGGCAGAGGATGAGAGCCATAACAGTTGACTATCGTTGTGTGTGTTCGAGTCCTGTAGCCGAGCGGCGATGGTGAAAGTGGCCGCAGGCCCAGCCCAAAAACACCTCTGCCATGTGGAGTATGGGCCACCGTGTTTTGCTTCGATGGCCCAGAGCTGACAAATGCATCAAATGTTAACCGGTCTGAGGCTCTGTTCTTAAATCACCATTTTTCCAAAGTCTTTGGGTAAATAGCCAGTTTAGTCCTTCAACTTTTGCTCAGGGATCGAATTAGTCCTTGATGTTTTAAATGTCCAAACAAGACCCTAAAGATTATCATGCGGCTTAATATAGTCCTTAGACCCACTTAAAACGCCACGTGGACATGCCACGTCATTCGTGCATGTAAGATAATATTTAAATGTCCATTTTTAAGCTTCAATTTTCTATCAAATAAAGAAAAGAAAAACAAGAAGAAGCAATCATAAAACAAAGAAAAATGTCAATTTTTTTTATCTATCAATGCTACATATTTTTGCCAATGGTCAAAAGCTTTTTTTTTTGTGTGTTTTCTCAATAGTTTTTCTTTATTTCCTATGAAAACATAAGGGTGTAAAGGACATTTAAATATTGAATTTGCATGCATAGATGATGTGGCATGTACACATGGCATGTTTAGAGGGTCTAAGGACTATATTGAATCACACAATAAACTTAAGGTACTCGTTTGGACAATACGAAATGTTAGAGACTAGATTGATCCTTAAACGAAAGTTCAAGCAGGGGCGGAGCTAGTATATAATAGGGGGTGTCCAGGAACCTGGTTAAAAAAAAATTAGCTATACCTCATCTATTTTCACCATATATGCACCCTCCTCAATACAAACTTAGGCATCCGCATAAGCTTAAACTTGATCTAAAGTGAGTAAATTAACTAAGTGGCACCACCCTCCATTTCACTCTAGCTCTGCCCCTGAGTTCAAGGATCATGTTGGGTATTCACCCAAAGTTTTTCTGTATCCGCATTGCTTAGAAAACTTATTCTAAGCAAATTTATTTTATAGATCTATAATACATATACTAATATACAATTTGTCACTATAACATTCGTACTCTATCCAATCATCCGTAAAGAACATCGCCTGCGAGCTCACTAGACAGGGGGGACCCTTCTCCTCCTCTCTCGAGAGTTCTCTTGAATCCTTTCTATAGGAATCCTTCGTCCCCTCCGGCCCCTCTCCCTCCTCCTCCCCGGTGGCTCGCCGCCGTGGAAGGGATGGAGAGGGGTCCGGCCCCTCCACCCCTCTATTAGTTGTAGTTTTAGTCGGGTCTTCCCGTATGGTCATGGTTCTCCCGTAGTTGTTTTCGGTCTTTTGGCTTCCGAGGCAGCCGTCAGCGTCGGCTTCCCTCGTCCTGGTACCACGGTGAGTGCCGCCGGTTTCAGAACCGGTGACGGTCTTCGTTGGAGCTGGGTGTCTATTAAGCGCCTTCATCGGGGGTTCATCCAATCTTGTGGAGTCAAAGGTAGCGCCGGCCTTCTTTTCTTTCTCCGGCGACCTCCTTCCAAAGATGGCAGCCTTGTTTTCAATATTCAGCGAAACTCTCTTTCAAGGCGTCTGAGGTTTTCAAGCTCCACCGAGGCAGTTCCAACCTCCTATGCGCGGAGGCCCCATAAGGATTCGCCTCCTGGTTTCTGCAGCAGATCGCTATGTTTTTCTTGGATTTTTC